GCAGCGCGGATCATCAATGATCTCCTCCAGAGCCTCAGGGTAGGTGGCTCCAGGCTCTGCTGCTGGTGGCTGGTGAGGGCGGAGGGAACTGGCCCAGCCCTCCCGGAGAAGTCCAGGGGCCAGGCTAGCTTTCTGCGGTCACGCTCTACCTCCTTCCTGTCTTGCAGAGTGGTCCCCCGGGCCCACCAGGGGGTCCTGGCATGCCCCCGGGGGGCCGGGGGCGAGGAAGGGGCCAAGGCAACTGGGGCCCTCCTGGCGGTGAGATGACCTTCTCCATCCCTACTCATAAATGTGGGCTGGTCATCGGCCGAGGTGAGTAGGCCTGCCTGCATTCTGTTCCTCAGCTCCCCCTCCTCCTGCCTTCTCTTCACTATCTGTCGTTCCCCACAGGTGGTGAGAACGTGAAAGCCATAAACCAGCAGACAGGCGCCTTTGTGGAGATCTCCCGGCAGCTGCCGCCCAATGGGGACCCCAACTTCAAGTTGTTCATCATCCGGGGCTCACCCCAGCAGATAGACCACGCCAAGCAGCTCATTGAGGAAAAGATTGAGGTGGGCTCAGGGAGGGGTTCTTGGAGGCTGGACACTTCTCCTGTCTCCTTCCCCCCACCCAAGTGACTTTGCTTCTCCTTCCTCCAGGGTCCCCTCTGCCCAGTTGGACCAGGCCCCGGGGGACCAGGCCCTGCAGGCCCCATGGGGCCCTTCAACCCCGGGCCTTTCAATCAGGGGCCACCTGGGGCTCCCCCGCAGTGAGTATTCATTCATCTCAGCTTCCTGGGATTTGGGACATGGGGGTTGCTGTGCTGCCAAGAAGAGCAGCGGACCCCATTTTCATTCAACACCAAGAAGTGCTGATCACAGCGGTTCAAGGCACGATCCAGCCCAGACTCCTACTCCTGTGTGATCGGTGCTATTTTTAAAAGATGTCACAGATGTTGACCCTGGTCTCCCACCTAATAGGCAAGCCCGTGTATACTGAATTTGGGCGACTTGCACATCTTTAAGCCAACGGAGTTTGTGTTCTTTGGCATTGTTCATCTCACCTTTTCCTGGGCCGAGGGCCTGTGACTGAGTATAAGCAGTGGGCTAGGCCTAGGCCCCCTTCCTCCCAGCCATCCCTGCCCCCGTGGAGGAGTAGTCCCAGCTCACTTGCCCTGTCTTTCTTGTCCCGCAGTGCGGGGGGCCCCCCTCCTCACCAGTACCCACCCCAGGGCTGGGGCAATACCTACCCCCAGTGGCAACCACCTGCTCCTCATGACCCAAGTAAGTAAGGCTGCCCAGGTGAAGGGCAGGACAGGGCTTGGGGGCCCAGGTGGGGAGGGCGGGGCTGGCTTCCAGCGCTGCTCTTCAGCGCACTGCTCTCCTACAGATAAAGCTGCAGCCGCTGCAGACCCCAACGCCGCCTGGGCCGCCTACTACTCACACTACTACCAGCAGCCCCCAGGCCCCGTGCCCGGCCCTGCACCGGCCCCCGCGGCCCCCCCTGCCCAGGGCGAGCCCCCACAGCCCCCACCCGCCGGCCAGTCAGACTACACTAAGGCCTGGGAAGAGTATTACAAAAAGATCGGTGAGTGTGTGGGCCGCCGCAGGGGCTCAAGTAGGTTGGAGGCTGGTGAGAGGCAGCCGCGTCCCTGTGCCATCCTCTGACCTCTCGAGGCCTTCCTCCTGCAGGCCAGCAGCCCCAGCAGCCCGGAGCGCCCCCACAGCAGGACTACACGAAGGCCTGGGAGGAGTACTACAAGAAGCAGGGTGAGCCGCTGGGGTTGCGGGGCAGGGGCAGGGCCAGGCCCTCGGGCCCCCGGTCACACTCGCTCACCGTGACTCCGCTTCCGTGCAGCTCAAGTGGCCACCGGAGGGGGTCCGGGAGCACCCCCAGGCTCCCAGCCAGACTACAGTGCCGCCTGGGCCGAATATTACAGACAGCAGGCCGCTTACTACGGACAGACTCCAGGTCCTGGCGGCCCCCAGCCTCCACCCACACAGCAGGGACAGCAGCAGGCAAGTGGGAATTGCCACCCTCCTCCTCCTCCTTTTTCCTTCCAACCCCCGGCCACCGTCCATCCTGCCTTAGTGGGTAGCGCCGGAAATCCCTTCCCCTGCGGGGTGTGTCCTTGATGCCTGCAGCGGGGGCCGTGTGGCCAGAGGTCTCCGGGAGTCCCCACGAGCTGGGGAAGTGTGCGCTGGGTCCAGAGGTTAAACGAAGAGGCCTCCCTGCGCCGGCCCGCTTGTTCCTGTGTCACGCTGTCTCGATGCTGGGGGAGAGCGCGAAGCAAATACAAGGTGGAACTGTTGAACTGGTGGGTAGTCCTGGGGGTGGGGGGCAGGCCAGCAGCACAGACCTTGGTCGCCATCCTGGCTGCTAACTCACTCATTCAAAATCTGGCCACTTGGGAAGAAAACGGATGTGTTTTTCCCTCTCTGCATTACTTTTTTGGGTTTTGTTCTTTGCATTCTTTTATTTTTAACCCCACAATCTTTTCCCCGTGTCCAAGTGACTGTGTGTTGCAGGCGGCCCCAGCGTGGGTCAGCCCTGGCTCTGGTGGGACTCGGGGAGCTTGCCACGGGGACCGGCCGCAGGGCCCCTCCCGCCCTGCCTGGGCTCCGCCGCCGCCTCCGCTCTCGCGCCTGCCTCTGTGTCCTGGTTTTGTCTGTGAAGTGGGCATGACGATCGCCGCCACCTTCCAACCTACCTCACAGGGGTGTTGTGGGGACACCGTGATCTCTGAGATTGTCATGTTGTGATGCGCCGGAGCACCTGCCTTCCCGAAGACAGAGGGCACCCCTCCTCCCTCCCAGACCCTGAGCGTGCTTCTCCCTCTCTCCCCGCTCTGCCTCTGCGGACCCCGCTTCTCTCCTCCTGGTCTTCACGTCCCTCTTGCTCCCTCCTCCATCAAGGAGCCAGTCTGACTTCAGCCGAGGGCCCCAGAGCACAGACTAGACACTTACAAACACATCGTTCCAGCCCGAGCTCGCCACAGGCGCGGGAGAGGGGCTTCCTGGCCCCCTCCTTGCCACCGTCCCCCCCAGTCTCCCGCCCCTCCCCCCTCCCTGTAGTGACCAATTCCTATCTCTTCCCTCTCCGCAGGCTCAATGAATCGAATGAATGTGAACTTCCTCATCTGTGAAAATCTTTTATTATTTTTTTTTCCATTTTGTTCTGTTTGGGGGCTTTTTTTTTTGGGGTTCTTTTTTTTTTTCCCTCATGTGTTTGGCGAGAGAGCGATGGCTGCTGTGGGGGGTGCTGGGGAGCCCTTGCTGTGAGTGGCTTGGAGGTCACAGCCTGGGCAATGCCGGGCTCTCACTCTCTCGTTCATTCTGTGTGTCTCGTGCTTTTTTCTTTCAAAATTGGGATCCTTCATGTTGAGCCAGCCATAGAAGATAGAATTAAATCTCTGCCAAAAAAAAAAAAATTTTTAAATATAAAAAACACAAAAAGCAAACAAAACCTATAAAATTATATATATATATATATAAAAATCTCTATCTTTTCCTGAAACTGCCTCTTTCAGGGGAAGGCAATTCATTTTCTTCCTACCACCCCTGGCCCTCTTCATGTTTTTAAAATAAACTTTTAAAAAGGAAAAAAAGTCACTCTTGCTATTTCTTTTTTTTAGTTAGAGTTGGAACATTCCTTGGACCAGGTGTTGCTATTGCAGGCCCCCCTCCCCCCCCCCAGTCAAGCCCCTTGATCTGCTCCTCCTCCTCCCCCCTGCCTCTCTCGGCTCCCTGCAGCCCCTCCCGCCCCCCACTCCCGGGACTGGTCTTGGGTTTCAGCTGTTCAAGAGGACATTGAAACTGAAAACAAATTGAGAACAAAAACAAAAAATTGTATGGCAGTTTTTACTTTTTATCGCTCGTTTTTAACTTCACAAATAAATGATAACAAAACCTCCCCGTGTCTGCTGGGTGCCGTCTCTCTCTCTTTCTCTCTCTCTCTCTTCCTCTTTCTCGTTTTCTTTCTTTCCCTCCTCTCTCCCCTGCCTCCTGTAGAGTTTTGAAGCAGATGTTTGTTTGTTCTTTATAGATGTTGTAAAAGCCTGATAATGGTGATTGGAAATTACAAGCTTTGTGTTGTGTTTTTTCTTTCCTACCTTCCTTTTTTTTTTTTTTTAAGAAAAAGAATTATAAGAAAAAATAGTTTTCTGCAGGCGCATTGTGCTTTCCTAACTCTCCCCCCACCCCCCCCTTTTTTTTTTTTGGTTAAATAAAGTGCTTTTTGTCTAAAAACTGCGTGCTGGCCGCAGTTGTGTTTATAGGAGACAAGTTAAAGAGGAACAGGGGTTGGCCAATCAGTGGGGTCTGGGTCCCCCAAAGACTGCTCTTCTGGTGTTGCCTTGCAGAAAAGGGAATAGGGTGAGCCCCAGTGGAGTAATCTTCCCCCATCCCACTTTTCCCTCTGGGGACATGGGGAGCAAGACACCCAGGAGAGGCTCTGGGGCCAGGTGTTTCCATGGACGCAGCCTGCCACCACAGCAAACCCATGGCTGTGTGCGCCTCACGGGAGTCAGACTGGCCTTGATAAGGCACCTGGCTGGGGCCTAGTAGAAACCAGGCCTCGTAAAGGATAGCACCGGTTCCAGTGCTTGGTGGGACGCTGTGCCGCCCAGGGGTGAGGACCGGATTTGGAAGAGTGACCTGAGGGGCCGTCTGAGCTGTCTGGCCCAGGGGCGATCATCTGGAGCCCTACTGTGTGCCTGGAGTGCTCTTTCTGGGCTTAGAGTTGAACGCTAACACAGATCAGGTTTCACGTTCAGAAGCCTGGGCCCACAGGCTTCAAGGGCAGCCCCAAGCAGGAGCCCACAACAGCTCACAGTCCCCCCCCCACCCCAGGCCTTGTCCAGGTTGGTCAGGAACCTGCTCCTGTGGGGGGGCCCCCAGTCAACCCACCCCCGTGGTGCTACGGCCCAGAAAGGGGCTGTCAGTCTGGGGCCTCGTGGGGAGTCAGCTCAGATTAAAGCCTGGCCTGCCGTCACCAGATGTCTTACCTCACAGGCACTGCGCCCCTTCTGAACCCCGTGTGGGTTCTGGGATGAGGGCGAAGGCAGAGCCCCCAGCCCCTCCCATCACTGCAGGCTTTCAATGACAGAACAGCACTTAGCAAAAATGTTTTCTGGAGCTGCTTCTGCCAAGATCTAGAGGAGGGGGAGTGGAGGGTCAGTGCTGAGTCACAGCAGGGACACCGTCCTCCTCCCCTCCAAAAGGGGGAAGCAGGTTAGCAGGCCTCTAATAAAGTGCAGGCAAAAAGTCTCGAGGTGCAGTGTCCGGGCCATGCAAGCGAGGGGAGAGGGAAATGGGTCGGGAAGGCTGCAACACAATGTTACATGTCACGAGCAGCTGGCCAGAGGTGCGGTCCCTTGGAGCAGGTGGGGGGAATTGCCTGCCCCACCTCACCCGGCCCCCGCCCTCCCTTCCCAACCTCGTTGGTCAAAACTAGTTCCACAAGACACCCTCCTTTCAGCCTCATCTCCCACTCCTGCCTTCAGCCGGAAATGGGGACGACAAAGTTTAATGTCTTCATAGACGGGTCACTTTAAGATAGGCCTACCTTTCCCCTGGGGAATGTATATGGCTGGACTTGAGCTGTGGTTCACCAATTGTCCTAACCTTATATTTTGTAGATACATTCTAAAATGTATTTAATGTTGCAGCTTTGGAGACATTGTTTAGACCTCAAACGTCATGGCCGGAAGGCCACGCCCTGTGCCCATACTGCCCAACGGAAGGAATGGAAGTTCCCAAATTTCCCAGTGTACACAGTGGGGAGACAGGCCCAGGGAGGTCCAGGATGTGGGCCACGGCATGACCCCTGTCTTGTTCCCCTGGGGAGTCAGTCGGTGGGGCGGGAGGTGAGTGGCAAGCAGGGAGTACCTACATTACAGAGCAGGTTCTTCTGCTGATAGAAGGTCAAGACTGGCTCACACAGCGTGTAGTACGTCTCCAGGCGCTGGCGGATGGCTGACTCACAGTCATCTGCCCGGTGCTCTATGCGGCCCCGGCGCAGCGCTCTCCGAACCATCGTGTCCATGGAGCAGTCAAACATGATGACGATGTCTGGGGCCCGGCCCACCTAGGCACCAGCAAAAGGGGCTGGGTGAGGAAGGGCCTAGGTGCAGTGTCTCCCTGAACCCTCTACCCTGAGATCAGGAGTCTAGAATTGTGTGGGCCCCCTGGGTTCATCTGATTTTTTAGCTCCAAGTTAGTGTTTACATATTTATTTTTTGAGATAGGTAGGACCTTGGCAGAAGCTCATAAGTAAACAACACTGACAGGGAAGAGGGAAGACTTCCTCACCATCCCCAGCCACCCAGTTTCACCCTCCCTGGAGGCAACTCCTTCCTGGAGTTACCTACTATTAGGGGCATATACTGTAAAAGCAAATGGGCTCCGATGTCCTTTTTTCTCCTTTTTTATACAAGTGGTGAAGATACTGATTTGCCTTCGACTTCCCTCAGTATAACTGGAGATGTTTCCATACTGGCCCATAAGGAGGTTCCAACTGTATGGATGTACCATGACTTAGTTCTAGGCCGATGGCTATTTGGATTGAAATATTTCTTCTAAGATGGATTTAAGCATTCCAGATACTTCCGCTGGGTAAGGTACAAGAGCCCCCAGCTCAGGGGCGCCTGGGTGGCTCAGTTGTTAAGTATCTGCCTTCGGCTCAGGTCATGATCCCAGGGTGCTGGGATCAAGCCCCGCATCAGGCTCCCTGCTCCGCGGGAAGCCTGCTTCTCCCTCTCCCACTCCCCCTGCTTGTGTTCCCTCTCTCCCTGTCTCTCTCTGTCAAATAAATAAATAAAATCTTAAATATATATAAAAAAAAAAAGAGCCCCCAGCTCACCATTACCCATACTGCTGCTCTGACCTCCCTGACTGGTCTCAAGGAGACCTTTCTAGATCTCCATGTCTGCCCACTGTGAGCTCTACCTCCTACAAGTTCCTCCAGAATTTCATTGTAAAATAGACTTCAAAGATGCATTAAAAAAAAAAAAAATTACAACCAAGTGGGATTCATTCCAGAAAGCAAGGATGGTTCAATACAATTTATTGTATGAACCTCTGAGGGAAAAGGCATATGATCCTCCTCATAAACACAGAAAGGGCAATTAACAAAATAGAGCATGCATTCCAGATTTTTAAAGAGGCTAGGAATTGATAAATATCTTTAGCCAGCATCTTTTTTTTTTTTAAAGATTTTATTTATTTATTTGACAGACAGAGACACAGCGAGAGAGGGAACACAAGCAGGGGGAGTGGGAGAGGGAGAAGCAGGCCTCCCGCAGAGCAGGAAGCCCGATGCGGGGCTCGATCCCAGGACCCCGGGATCATGACCTGAGCCGAAGGCAGACGCCTAACGACCGAGCCACCCAGGCACCCTTCAGCCAGCATCTTAATGGAAATTTGCTTTCCCACTGAAATTGGGAACAAGACAAAATTGCCCACTCTTGCTCCTATGACTTAATAAGGTATGAGATTAGCTAAAGCAATGAGATAAAAGAAATCACTTTGAGAAACCTGAATTTGAAAGAAGGGAGGTAGAACCATGTCTGTTTGCCGGTGATGTGATTATATTTCTGGAAAACTCAAGAAAATCAATACATAAACCAGTATAGACTTAAGAAGATTTGATAAAATATTTGCTAAAAATAACAGGATATAACACTAACACACAGAGGTCAATAGTCTACATGTATACAAAAATCACCAGTTAGAAAAGAAGACCCCATTTACAACAGCAACAAAATGAAATATAAAATGCTCAGACAAAACTTTTCCAAAAATGTGCAAAGTCTTAAGGACAATCTTTAAGGAAAACTTGGATAAGATTTAACTCAAAGGAGACTTGAACAAAAGAAAGATAAAAATGTGCATGGATAGGAAGACCACATCATAAAGGTGAGAGTTCCTGAATTAGTTTGTAATTTCAACACGATAACATATTTTTAGTTGAATTGGCTGACTCTAACATTCATATACAAAATCAAACACGCGGGGATGTCCAGGAGAACCTAGGCAAAGAAAACCAATGGATAGTAGGGGTGGGAGAGGAGGTATTGAGTCCATAAACCGACCCAAGTGAATACGGAAAGTTGTTACATGGTGAGGGTGGCATCCCAAATAAATGGAGAAAGCACAGCCTATTAACTAGAGGATCCTGGAACAACTGGATCACGATTTGGAAAAAGGTCAAATTGAACCCTTACCTCATTCCAAAAACTAGGATAAGTCCCAAATGGATCAGAGATACCAATGTAAGAAATAAGGTCATACAAGTACTAAATTAACCATGAGTAGATATCCCTTATAAGCCTAGGATTGGTGGTGGTGGGGGGGGAGTGATCTTAAAATCCCGAAGAAATAACAAAATATGATAAATTTGATTAAAAATCTAAAAACAATTTTCGCATGACAGAAAGATACCATAAAGCAAAGTCAAAAGATAACTGACAAAGTGGGGGGGAAAGATTTGCAATATAGCCCAATATATAAAGAGTTCCTAGAAATCAAGAAGAAGAGACCAACTCTCTGTCAGAAAAAAATAAGTAAATAAAGCTAAAGATATAAAGAGCACACAAAAGAAATAAAAATGGCCCTTAAACTTTGAGGAAGATGTTCAGCCTCACTCATAGTAAGAGAAAGGCCCATTTAAACTACCCCAAAACACCATTTTGCACCTAAGCAGGGTGACAAACATTCAAAAGTTTGGCAGCATCCTCTGCTGATGTGGGTGTGAGGAAAGGACACTTTCATGTTTCGCTGGTGGCAATGCAAAACAAAGACCGTGGTGATAGCTAGCAAAATGACCCACATGTTTCTCTTTAGTCTAAAAACCCACTCCAAAGAACCTATTGTAAAGATAACTAGCAAAAAAAGAAAAGAAAAGAAAAGAAATGCCATGCAGAGGTTATTTAGTCTTGCATTGTTTGTGGTGGCACAAGACTGCCAACAGCTTTTTGTCTTCCAATATGTTGTCCGACAATTTATTGTCAGTGGGAGATCAGCGGGATAAACGATGGCAGTGCTACACCTTGGAACAGAAAGGGGGCAAGGAAGTCTTTGGTGCCCATAGGAGATCTGCAGGATATATTGTAAAGTTAAAAAAAAAAAAAATGAAGACAAGTATATACAGAACGATAGTTTTTGTGTGAGGAGGAAGATCTCTCTCTCTTTCACACACACACACACACACACACACACACACACTGGCTTTATATTTGCAAAAAGAAACACCAGAAAGACAAACCAAACACTACTGAAAATGGTTGCCCATGGGGGTTGGGGACGGACAGGAATGGCTGGAAATGAGCTCTCTCCGGCGTACCTTTTTATGTGGCTCTGACTTCGGATTCATTAAATAATACGCAAATTCAAAAGTTAAATTTAACAAAGCAATCCGTAAATATCCAAAACCAAACCGAAACAAATGTACCCAACTGAGTGTTATTGTCATGCATTAACTACGCAGAGAAAATAATTATTTCGGGCAACTCGGTGTTTTTTGTGTACATCCACAGTGAGGAATATTACAAGGGAAATCAGAGCTGCAGAGAAATCTTAAACTTCCTTCAGTCGTTTTGGTCTTAGTAGTTAATATGGGTACATTCCTTGGAAACTATTTTGCATCTGATGGAATAATGCGAATGACCGTGTTCATGGTTTTAGGAGTCCAGTGTTTTGGGAAAGAGAAGAAGGCACAGTCATGGTAAGTGTGAACTGGAAACATCAGTACGAACCTGTGATATTTTTTTTCCCCTTTCACAAGTTTGTGTTTTCCAGCTCTGTCCCCTGAAAAGGCCTGGAAACGGTGGCAATGGGCACCCCTGGCCCCCAGAGTGGACGCCACTCGGAAAGGGCTCCTTCGAGGCATGGCCAGTTCTAGGATTCAGCAGGAAGTGTGAAAGGCGGCGGAGGGGGGGGATCGTGGCTGTGTCAGAGGACACACATGTCAGCGAGAAAGGGTGCCCCCTGGCCACCGATGTGACAGCTCTCATATCAACAGCGACAAAGACCCGTGAGTTCCTAGCGATGAGAGAGAACAAAACAAGGAAGGCAAAGCAGACCAACCTCGTGGGCGCCATTGGAAGGAAACAGGACACCGACGCCTCAGTCTGAAAAATGGCCTTCGTCGAGAAAGGAGACCCCAACAGCCCTTGATGAGGAAAGAGATTTCTTCTTTAGGGAAGGATTCCCGCTAATCAATGTGGAAAACATGACCAGAAGACAAAAATCTCTCTCTCAAAATAAATAAATAAATCTTAAAAAAAAGAAAAATCAAGGTGTCCACCCAGCTAGTTCCTTCTGCGACTCCTTTCCTGGGCTTTTCCCTGTGTCCTCCCTCTGTGTGTGTCCGTGTCCTAATCTCTTCTCATAAGGACACTGGTCGGATTGGATCAGGGCCCACCCTAATGACCTCTTTTGACTTGCTCACCTCTTTAAAGACCCTCTCTCCACCCATAGTCACATTCTGAGGTCCTAGAGGTGAGGGCTTCCACATACAAATTTGGGGGACACCCTTCCAGCCATTACAGACCCCTCACTAAAGGCAGTGGCAGCCGGGCACGTGGGAGCCTCCTGGAAATTACGCAAGACAAGAAGTACTGAACCACAGTGCTCTATGCCAAATTCACCCTGCTTCATCTGCCACCACGTAGGGGAGGAGCCAAACCCTGAGGAGCACAGAATGTCATGCAATTGGATGGACATCGTCAGAATTGGACAGATGTCACAGAAATGCAAGCACGACACATACTCTGTTTTCCCACTTTCTCAAGTCCACCCCCTGTGTCCCAGTGAGCATTTGGGGCCCGATTCCTCCAAAATAACACACTCAAACACATTTAAGAGATAATCCAACCAGGGCAGAGACAACTAAGCATTGTGTGCCACCCGACACACAGTTCCCGTCAATGCCTACAAAACCTGCTTGAAGAAATGGCATCTGAGTCCCCAGCGAGCAAGACTCTAGACACACTACCGATTGATAGATCTAGTGGAGAGAGGAACATGGTAAAGAATGCTTTGCAATCAGCAAAATCCAGGCTGTGTGAAATAAGGAGACCCGAGGCTGTGGCTTCTTCCATAAACCCAATGGCAAGGAAAACAGAAGCAGCCGCAATGGAAGGAGCTCCGACTGATGACAAGGACCATGAGACATAGCGACCCACTGCACTGTCAGCCTTACTTAAATCCTCATTAAAACCAGACATAAGAAGACAAAGATTTTGAAGATGTTCACGGAAATCTGAATATCAATCAGTTGTTTGAGGACATGAGAGATATTAACATGGGACAATGGGAAGTGTTTTGATTTTGCAAAAATCTTCATCTTTTGGAAAATATATACAAAATTATTTATGGATTCAAAAACACGCACACAGACACCCAATGTATTGAACCTGAATCTGAGTGGGTCGGTAGTTAATTTTGCATGTGCAGCGCAAATGAAGGATAGAGAGACGAGTTAAGGAATACCACGAGGCAGGAAGCCCCTGGACAAATCCGAACAAATCAGAATCCCAGGCAGGAGGGAAGCAAGCAAGGCCGATGACCTGCCTTGGATTAGGAGACACCTAGCGAGGTGTGGGCCTCGTTTTCCTCGCAAATCTAACCTTATGGAAACCAAAGAGACATTCTTCAGACACTGGGGAAACTCAGAGGTGGCCTGGGCATCAAATGGTCTCAAGGCATGAATGTTAACCATCTCAGGAGCGTCTGGATGAGGGAGCGCCCAGAAATGGGACCTGGAATCTGCTTCAAAGCACACAATCGGCCACTATAACAAGACTCTTTTGTGTGTATGTGTGTGTGTGTTTTAAAGATTTTATTTATTTGAGAGAGAGAGAGCAAGGGGGAGGGGCAAAGGGAGAGGGAGAAACAGGCTCCCCGTTGAGCAGGGAACCTGACGTGGAGCTCGATCCCAGGACCCTGGGATCATGACCTGAGCCCAAGGCAGATGCTTCACCAACTCAGCCACCCAGGCGCCCGCGACAAGATGTGCTGGCGCAGATAAGGCAAGTGTGGCCAGACCTCGATGATGGTTTGATCTGGGGACGTGGAGATCCCTTAGATCGTTCCAGTTGTGTGCGTGTTTGAAATCTGGCACCAGAGATACCAATGATGGCCTTGTGGGTTTTTCCACTCAGGGAGCACGCGCACACACAAGCGCACAAGCGAGTCCCCTTCCTGGTGAGGACAGTGAACAGGACGTGGGTGCCTTCATCCTCTTGGGTGCTTCCGAGTGCAAGGCTTCGCGGGGTCAATTTGCACTTCAAGGTCAGTGCTGTTACTTACAACACTGCATTCCCCCAAAATGCCTTTTTCTACTTTTTGCCGGGCGGGGAGGGTGGGCAATGAGAGCACTTCGGGAAATGGAAAGAGAGCATCCCTTGCTCCAGAGGCAACTCAAATCAAATACGCAGCAACGCTAACAGCCTGGTTGTGATACTGGACGATGCCACCCCCCTGGGGGGAACCGGGTGAAGGGTACAGGGCAATTTCCCGTGAGCCTCTAATTAACAAAAAAATATTTAAAAAATATGTAATTATTTAAAAGTCTTCTTCTGTGAACAGGGGAGTTTCCCTGCAGGTGGCACTTTTGGGAGAAGCATGGACCCAGAGAAATGGGTCCTGTGTCTGGGCGTTTCAGGGAGACTGGTCACGGATGCTCCGAGCAAGTCCAACCTGACGATAAGCATCGGAGCTGCACGTGGTTATCTGGTCCTCCTCGCCGCCCCTTGTGCAGAGTGCCTCCTGGTGGGGAGTCCCCGCGTGCTCATTTGACACAGGCCACCCACCCCGGGGCCTCGGCTCCCCGGAGCTGTGTTCTCAGACAGGTGCACAAGTGACCGAATCAATCTTGGAAACAGACAGGAAACTGTCTCGGGAATCAGCCTTCCCCATCTCCCCACATCGAGGAGATGCCTGTGGCACTTCTGTCCATATGCGCAGATGAGGACACTGAGGCTTGGGAGGCCGAGTCTCGTGCGAGTCACAGACGGGTGGAGAAAGTGACTGAGTGTGACCCGAGCTCCATACGCGCATCAGCATCAGAGACCGCCCTAAAAGAGACACTCCAGCCCAGCAGGGTTGGGATGGAAGGACCAAGCTGGGTGCCTCCGGGGACCCCCGGACAGACCTAAGGCAGGGGCCTCCAGGGTCCTCAAAGGCCAACAGGGGCCTGGCAGCTCGCAGAGATCTAGAAAATTCTCCACAAAGAAAATCCACTCTCCTAACCCAGAGCCCTGTTTCATTTTTGCACTTTTGGCAGCCACACGGGCACGAGAGGAAAGCATGCGTTCTGTTCCTCTTAGCATAAAACCCCAACAAAAGCATGATCCTACATGGCAGATGGCGCTCGGCCTCCGTGATGGAGAGGCAACCTTCCGCGGGTGTAGCGGGGAGACCACCGGGAGGCGGAGAAGGGTCCCCCGCTGACGTAGTTAAAATCTAGGCCTTGGAACCAATTGCTGTGGTGTGTGGCCTGCGTCCACCACCTAAATTATGCGATCCCGGGCAAGTCACCCAATCCCTCTGTAAAAAAGCGGGATGCTGATGGTGCAAGAAAGATTTTTCTGGAACATTCCGAAAGATCAGAGCTCCTCCGTGTAGTGTCAAGAACAGCGCTGGGCTCAGGATAAAGCTCAGGATGCATTCATGCTGCTGTTGCCAGGGGACATGCAGGCCCTGCGCCTGCCAAGTCAGGCGATTTTCAAGGGAAGCTGGGAGTTTTGATGTGGCATCTCCCGAGTTTCGAAGCTTGGCCTTAAAAACCTGTAGAGTCCAAGCGGAACCCATTGGTGGACCACATGGGGCCTGAGGGCCAGGGGTGTGCAGCTTCTGGTCTGAGACTCTGTGGCACCTGTGGAGTCCGCTGAGCTGGCATCGAGGGCTGGGGCCTACTGCAGGCTGGGCGCCGGCCCAGGGCTGAGAGATTCATGAGCCCGGCCTTTGCCCTCAGAGCGCCCAGACCAGGAGAGGGAGCCCAATATTTGCCCTGAGAGTCACTTCGATGAGCCCGACAGAAACTGCTCCCAAGCAGGTGCAGACAAAGGGCAGGGCCCCACCTGCCCCAGCCCTGGGCAACCTCTGTTTGATTCTCACCTGGACTTCTTTAAAGGCATTTCGACCCTATCTGGCAAGTTCCGGGAAAAGCCTGGAGGCTGACAATCTGCCAGTTTCTCTTGTCCTGCTCGGCTGTTTCCAGACGCTCCAGCCATGGCTGTCCTGGTGTGTGGATGGGCCTTCTCGTGATGTCAGCGGTGCTGGCCTGCAGAAGTAACCTGAAGAAAGGTAGTCCAACTCGCCAGCACCGGCTGGCTCCTCCTTGCACAGCTCAGTTGTCCGATGTCCTCACTTCGAGGAGGCCAATGGGGACCACCTAACCCAAACAGCCCATTGAGTCCCTCCAGGATGTCATTCTGTCTCCGGCTCTTGACTGCATTTACTGCTGCCAGAAACGTCTCTCTTTTGTTCAGCAAGTCATGCTTTGGTCAGTGCCTGTCTATTGGCATCCGAAGAGCAGGGACTGAGCCTGTCCCATGAACTCCTAAGGACAGAGCCTGTTCTCAAACTATTTGGGGACAGGTGGTTAAATACATAGATGAACGAATAACTATACTCCATCCTTATGGCCCAGAGATGATGCTAAATCCACGTGCTACTCAGTGGGCAGATAATCTATGTGCAGGAAGATATTAATATGACTTTGTCCTGGCCAGCTCACCAGGTTCTAGAAGCTTCCAACGGTCTCCTGACTGTCCCTTGACAATATAAAACGCCATTGCCCCCTTGCCATCTCCTCTCCCCCGAGTCTCACCCCTTCTGGACTCCATCCGAGGTGGGGAGGGAGGAGTGGCTTCACACCTCACCACACACTCACACCCCCTGGGGTCACTCACAATGCGCTCAAACTCCTTGGCCTGCCTCAGCTCCCGCGGGAAGCCGTCAATGAGGAAGCCCCGGCTCTCTGGGCGAGATAACATGGCGTTGCTGATCATGTCTAGGATGATGCCCTGGGAAGGAAAGGGGTGGCGGCTTCAGTGCTCCAGGGTCCCTCACCTACATGGCCACCTTGTCAAGTTCTCTCCCTCAGTTTGGACTTCAGGTGAATCCAGGGAGTACCTGCCCTCCCCAGGGCCTGGGATTCTGGGTCTGCTCTGGTGTCCTGGGGCCACTCTGATGCACAGAGCCCATCTACTGGGCAAGTGGCTACTATGTGCCAGGTACAGGGGTGACCTTCATTTTACAGGTGAGGAAACAGGTACAGAAGGGGCCGGTGATAGAGACGCCCAAGGTCACAAAAGGAATAAATACTGGCAAACTTTACCAAGTGCTTGTGAAGTGCCAGGCACTTTGCCACGTGCTTTATAGGAATGACATCAGCCAACACTCACTACAGACTCCTGCTGTGGGTCCAGCTGGTCTCCCCTTTTTACAGGTGAGGACACGGAGACTCAGGTAGCAAGGCAGTGGCCAGGCCAGGAACCGTGGCTTTCTGGGCCTATCTACTTCCACAGGGCTTCCAGGGAAGCTCATCCTAATGTACCCCCTTCTTCTTCCCTCTGCCCCGGAGCCTGTGAGCTCTCACCATGGGCACCAGGAGCCCCTGCAGCATGATGTCATGGATCTTCCGGCCCCGCTGGGTGCTGCGTTGGGCCTCCTGCCGCAGCAGCTGGCCCAGCCCCACATGGCAGAAGCCATATTTGGTCGCCATGTTCTTGCATTGTGTCCCTTTGCCACAACCTGGGCCGCCCATCACGAAGATGATCAGGGGGGACTTGAGGATGTCTGGGGGGCCCAGGGAAGAGGTGGGGAGAGGGTTTGGTGCCTGCAGGGACCAGCACGCACCGATGTGACTGTGTCCACAGCCTAGTGTGTGTCCTTGGTGAGTGACACTGGACACGGGTCTCCTGGCATACCCACTTTTGCCCTAGGGTGGCATTTGGGGGTGCATATCCATGCCTAATGGTATATCCAGGCATGGCATGCATTAGTGCTGTTATGGGTCGCTGTGAAGCAGATGTGAACTTGAGCAGGCCTGGCCCTCTGCACACAGCATCTCCTTGAAGAATCTCAATGACTCTATCATCCCATTCTACAGTTGCGGAAACAGGCTCAGAGCAGGGCAGGAACTCGCCCATCCTCCAGACCATCCCACACCACCCTTCTCTTCCTCCACTCTGCTCTAGCCCCAGTGGCCTCTTCTGTCCCTTAAGCTTGCCACACTCAGCCCTCTCCTGATGCTCCCCCTGCACGGTAAGTCCCCCCTCCACTACCTTCAGGTCACAGCCCCCCCCCCCCATCAGGCTTTCTCTAAGAGACTCCCTCCCCATCATTCCATCCCAGAGCTCCATTTCCTCCATAGCAGCGGCCATGATCAGCGATGAGTTTGCCTGTTTACTTGTTCTTGTCTGTCTCTGCCGCCAGACTCTATACTCCACGAGGGCAAGGACTGTTTCTGTCTTGCTGGTCCCTATGTTTCTATTACTTGGCACAGTTCCTGACTTATAGTAGTGGGCGATGAGTAAATGAACGTCCACGGCTACCAGGAATGCCCATGGAGTGCAGTAGTTTATAATGCAATGTTGGTGTCTTGCCTCCCTCCGCCTTGGCTTAGTGAATTCCTAGCAACTCACAGGGCCCAGCTTAAATCTCCCCTCCTCCCTGAGACCTGAGACCCGGCTCTTCTTTCCCTGTGGCAGCCCTGTTCCCTCCTGCTTGTAGATGCCATTTTCTGAGACTGTCTCCTTCACTACACTCTCATCTCCAGGCCAGGGAGCTAGTTTGACACATTCACCCTGGAGTGCCCGGAACCCCGCACAGCAGGTGCCCAAGTGGATCAGCATGGCTGATCCTTGAGCATGTGCAGTTGTGTTACTATCACGGGGGGCAGGGGGGCGTGTGCACGCTGGACTTGGGGTGTTGGACACCTGCACCCCCCTCACGCCCTTCACAGCCTCCTTCCTCCCCCCCGCCCGTGAGCCAGCCGCCCCCGCGATGTTACCCTTCTCCTGGGGTCTCAGGGCCCGGCCCATCTGAGGCAGCTTGGACCTCCACAGACCCATCCCACCAGCGGCCCGCGGGGTGGTCGCGCCCCATCCCCACCCAGGCCCTGACTCCTCCTGGTTCGGCTCAACGTCACAAGGGCCCGATCATTTGGCGAGATGATGAAGTGTCCCCGGGGCAGAAGGAGGAAATGAACCCAAAGAGGCTCAGGTGGAGCCGCAGCACCTTGCTGCGGAAGAGGCCTCGGTCGCTATGGTGACGCGCCCTCCTTGGACTCACTTCCGGAGTGGAGTGGCGCATGCGCTGGGCGCCCGAGAGCTCGCGAGGAAGGCTAGTTTCTCCCTCCCCTCCCAGGATGCCCAGCGGTTCCGGGTGTGACGTCAAGGGAGGCGTGGCCGCAGAGCTGATTAAATTAACCGTGCTATATAGCGAGGCGGGACCCCGCGCGAGCGGCAGACGGTGTGATTTCTAGCTCGGGATCGGGTTGGGCTCTTCCCTCTGGAAGGAGACAGCGGTACGTGAGGCGGAGGAGGTTGCCATCGCGACGCGGCCCGAGTTTCGCTTCCAGGTTAGGCGCAGGCGCAGACGTGGCCGGAGTGGTCCCCGAGACGGACGGCCGACTGAGCACCGCTTCCGGGGAGCTGCTCCCGGGATCGGTGGCACCTCGGGCTTGGGGTCCTCGATCGGGGCCAGAGAGCCGACACCGCGAGGGCGGCTTCCCCGGGACCGAGGGACGCGGACCGGACCCGAACCACCGATCGTCACCCATGGCGGCCCTCGTGAGTATGCGGCGGAACTGGGGGATCCCGGCGGCGGCCTCTGCGACCCTTCACTCACCGTCCTTCCTTCTGTACCCGCAGGGCCCCAGCAGCCAGAACGTCACTGAGTATGTCGTTCGAGTTCCCAAGTAAGTCCCTGAGCCCTCTTCCCACTTCCCCCGAGAAGGGATCAAAACCTTGCTGAGCTTCTAGGCAAGCCCGGCACCTCTTGTGATTCTCCCTCCTAACTAGCAGGGACCTGGGGACAGGGCTCGGGTTGAGCCGAAGCCTTTCTGGGGGCATCCAGTGTTTTGAACGGAAGGAATGAATGAATAAGTACATTAATAGACGGTAGGATGCAGCCTCCTGGTCAGGAATGCCTTTTCCCCAGTTGTGACTCCTTTGTTGGTCCTCTGGAAACCCGGTTCCAGGATTTTTCTCCTCTGGGAAACATTCCCTGCCTGCCCTCCCCCATCCCCAGGGCAGAATTCCCCATTATTCCCACATCTTGGGCTCCCCCAGATCTTTGTGCCTCCTTCTGCTCTTCTTCAGCACGGGTTGGGGGAGTATGGATCTGTTCCCTGACAGACTGGGAACCCCTGAGGGCTTTTGTGGGTCCCCAGCATTGCTGAGCCAGGCAGTGTTTGTTAAATGAATGAAGGACTGAGCACTGCCTCTTCTTGCCCATTCCAGAAACACAACTAAGAAATATAACATCATGGCCTTCAACGCAGCTGATAAAGTCAACTTCGCTACCTGGAATCAGGTAAGCCCCTGTGAGTGCGAGAACCTGATCCTGCACTTGGCGGTTGCAGTAGATGCTTAGTTATAGTAGTAACTGAGGCTTGGTTTCCTCTACGGGCCCTGAGTGGAGATGAGATGTTGTACTAAGGCCCAGGCTGAGCTGCTGGGTATCCCTGTGAGGAAGATTTGGCAGGCCCCACAGGAGGCCTTGTGAAAGGAGAACATTTAGAATTTGTGTCCACTGACAAGCATTTTTGGTCTGGAGTTATCTGGGCAAGGGAGGGGGCTGCATCCCGCAGATGGTTTTTGGAAGCTGTCTCTCTCCATTGGTGCTGCTATGGCAGAATACCCCAGACCGGATGGCTTATAAACAACACACGTTTGTTTCTCACAGTTCTGAAGGCTGGGAAGTCCAAGATCAAGGTGCCAGCAGATAGATTTTTGGTCTGGTGAGGGCCTGCCTCCTGGTTCATGGATGGCTGTCTTTTTACTGTGTGCTCACATGGCAGAAGGGGTGAGGGAGCCCCCTGGGGCCTCTCTCCTAAGGGCACTCATGTCATTCACGAGGGCTCCATCCTCATGACCTAATCCCCTTCCCAAGGCCCCACCTCCCGAAGCTATCACCCTGGGGGTTAGGTTTCAACGTATGCATTTTGGGGTGGAACACCAACATTCAGTCTATAACAGAAGCCATTTAAGGGTTTTAAACAGGGCAGTTATAGTGATCTGGGTGCTGTCGGGAGACAGGCTGTGGGATCAAGTGAAGACAAAGGGTGTGCAGGGTGGAGGCGTCAGCTGGGGTCCAGAGGAGTGACCTTTGGGCCTGGAGCAAACAGCGGTTATGAGAAGTGGGTGGATTCTAGTGTGTTTCGAAGTGGAGCCAACATGATTTGTTAATGATTGGATGTTGAGGGGTGACAGGGCCAGATGGATGGAGTATTTGGGAACTCTGGTCCCGACATCATATATTAGACATCCAGGAGGAGACGGGAAATAAGCAGTTGAGCATATGAGTTGGGAGACTGGCAGGGGGCATCTGGGCATTTGGAGTGGCATTTAAAGCCACGGAGCCTGATCCGGCCCAGCAGAGGAGTTGGCCCCACGTCTAAAGTCGGCAGCTTCAGACCTTCGCTCAGTTTGGCGGCTCCTACTGCTCAATCTTGTTTTCCAGCACAGGTCTCTCTTTGGAGTGTTTTTAAACATCACTTCATCTAGTTGAGCAAATGAGGCCATTGGACACTGGGCAGGTGAATGCTTGCTCAGGGCACCCTCTTCCCTTGTAGGGTGCCTGCCTCCCTGCATCTCCAGCTGCACACCCATTCATATACAAACTAACATGCTTCCCCAAACTCTGGTCTCACCTAAATTATCCAGAGAGGGTGCAGGGTTTCCAAATCCCTGATCACTCAGTGGGGGGACATCCTTTATCACTAATCATCTAAGAGAGAAATAACCCACCCATCAGGGATACCCAACCCCCAAACAACACTCATCGCTAAGAAGAATAACTTGGCAAGTATTTTGGGAACATACCACCTTCCATCCCTCATTAAGTAGGAGGGCCTCTCTCCCCCGACCCATGAGAACCCAGAGGAGCCCCTCAGTAACCCATCATCTTGAGGTGCAGCACCTGAGTAGTTATCACCTCTTGAGATACGTGACCTCCTAGCCACTAGGAACTTGGGGGTTACACATACCCCATTCCCTGATCATCATGGGGGGACATCACTCATCACTCCTTGTTTTGACCTCCCGGAGGTCACACCCCCTGAAAATCTAGTCACAGGGAGATACAGCCCCCAGAATTCTCGTTGACTAAGAGGCATACTCCCTAAAAAACTTAGGAGGAGGATTACATTCCCTGGGGAAAAACGAATCCTCTGGGTTGTCACTAATCACCCGAGGGAGGGGGCAGGTACAGGCGTCTAAGTGCTGTCAACCATGAGGGACATCCCCTCCCCCAGTAGCTGCTCCCCACCCACAGCAACTTGTGAGCAGAACCCCCCCCCCCCCCCCCCCGCAAATGCATTCTTTGCAGCAGCTGTCCCCGGAGACCGCCCCCTGGGCCAGTGGTGAACCAGCCCGGCAGGGGCCCTGCCCTCTGGGGTGACCACCTTCAGATAATCAGGCCTGTTTACCCGCCTTTAGTAATGAGGCACACCCTGGGCTGGCTCCCAGAAAAGGAGGTGCAGGAAGGACACTGATTCCTCCCATCCCCTGGGGGTGCCCTGATTCTGGCCTCAGCCTGGGTAGCTTGACCTGGGATCAAAGGCTAGCTTGGGGGGCAGCTGAGTGGCTCAGTCATTAAGCGTCTGCCTTTGGCTCAGGTCATGATCCCAGGGTTCTGGGATCAAGCCCCGCATCAGGCTCCCTGATCCTCAGGAAGCCTGCTTCTCCCTCTCCCACTCCTCCTGCTTGTGATCCCTCTCTCGTTGTGTCTCTGTCAAATAAATAAATAAAATCTTAAAAAAAAAAAAAAAGGCTAGCTTGGTAGCCGTTTTGCCTCTTATTTCGAAGCTTTTGTTCCATCGTCCTCGAGCTTGTGGTGGTGTTGGCCGTTGAGAATTTCCGCCATCCTCATTCTTGTCCTTTATATCAGGGGTCAGCAGGCTTTTTCTTGAAGGACCAGCTAATTACTATGCTTGGCTTTGTTGGCTGGTGTCTGGCACAGCCCTTATGTCTGTCCCGCCCCGCCCTTCTGTCCCGCCCCGCCCTGTACACGGTAAAGACGCAACGCTATGTAAATGAGTGGGCGTGGCTGCACGCTAATAAAACTTTGCTCCCCCCCCACCCCCTCACCCCCCATCCCCACCACTTCCTGGATGCCTGTAGGATCTTCTTGTTCCCAGCCATCTGAAATCTCTTGACGGGGAAGTAACATTGGTCGTCTTGCCTTTTCCAGCTAACATGTCTTCGCAATCGTTCCTTACTTACTCTTGCCTCCTCTTTTTGGCTGTTTGCTCTTCCGTTGTGTGGAGGCGGCCGTGTGTATTAAGCGAGTCCCCTGCTGATGGGCATTAGATTCACTTCCGGTCTTTTGCTGCCGCAGCCAGTGGCCCTGTGTGTCTGGCATTTCACCTCCGCTGCCTGGAGGAGGCAGCTTGAGGGTAAGCAGTGTGTGCGGCTTAGAATTTCTAACTGCTGCTGAATTGCCTGGAGATCCAAATCTGGAAAGCAGCCTTCAATGGTGTCTAAATGCAGACAGAGAAGAAGAGTGGGCCGGTTCCAAGCAGGTTGTTTTCATTGTTTTTGCTTTTGTCCTCTCACCAGAATGATCCGTTTTGTTTTTGTTTTTTTTTAACTGTTGATTTAGAAATAGTTTCAGACTTTGAAAAGCTGCAAAATAGACATAGTGTGAGGCTTACCCACTTCCCTTCACCCAGATGCACAGAGAGCCAGTATTCTACCCCTTTTTTTCATTTTGCTAAGCAGGAGGTTGGCTTTGAATGTCTGCAGCTCAGCCTGGGAGAAGGGGGTAAGGGGTGTTCTTGCGGGGGCGGGCACCCTGCTGAAAGCGTCTTTTTCCTGCCTGCCCTGCCCTGTTGCCCCAGGCCCGGCTGGAGCGAGACCTGAGCAACAAGAAGATTTACCAAGAGGAGGAGATGCCTGAGTCCGGCGCGGGCAGCGAGTTCAACCGCAAGCTTCGCGAGGAGGCGAGGAGGAAGAAGTATGGCATCGTCCTTAAGGAGTTCCGGCCCGAGGACCAGCCGTGGCTGCTCCGCGTCAATGGCAAATCAGGCAGAAAGTAAGGGTGGCGCAGTGAGTGCCTCCCGCGTCCCCCTTGTGTCCTAACTCCGTGGGACGTCCTCTCTCAACTCCCGTGGCTCTCGTGGGGTTTTATTTCTGAAG